TTTTCTTGTGCTCATTTTTGTGCTTCGGATTGTGGTGCCGGGTAGTACTGAAGTAGTACCGGAGTAGTACGGGAGTACTTTTTTGTTGCACTAACAGTGACCACAAGGATCACAATCCGAAGCACAAAAATGAGCACAAGAAAATAAGCACAACTGAGTTTTTTTTCTTGTGCTCATTTTTGTGCTTCGGATTGTGGTAAGTGACCACAGGGATATCCGAAGCACAAAAATAAGCACGAGAAAATTAGCCCAACTGAGCTTATTTTCTTGTGCTCCTTTTGTAATACAAATTAAGAAGCAAGGGGCCTTATTGAACTGTTAGTGGGGGCGGGATTGACTCAACCTATACCCAAAAGGGGGCCATAATTTTGGGGAACCCCCCACATGTCCCCACTTCCCGTGGTGCTTCGGTTTGTTTCAAGCACCTCCATCTTGTTTTGCTGTTTTACAAGTGCGCTGATGGCAGACGTAATCAAACGACCGTAGCTAGAGAAGCTTAGCTATACCCCTATACCAAGGACCCAAATAATAGGGACGAATACCACTAATACTATTGTATTTGAGCCCTAAAACCTGATTATTTGGGCCCTTGGACCCTAAACCCTAAATAAACCCTATATATCCTCCTATAATCCCTTTAAAGGGACCCAATTATTTGGGTCCGTGGACCCTTAGGGTACTACACTAGAGGCGGGAGCGCCAGTCAATCCACACTGCCCTCATGACCTCTTAGTAATGCCCCCCCATAATCCCTGTTAATTCCCGGCTGTATCCCAAAGGTCACCCACCTTTTTATAGAAACCCTAAACGCTAAACCCTAATTGTCCTTGACCACCAGGTGGTAGACGTCACTTCTGGAGATCAAGCTTTTACGCCAGGATGTGGCGACTGTGTGCGCCATTCGGCCAAACTGTACGACGATCTGCGCTAAGACGGGTAAGGCCGTGCAAGTGTAGTAGGCCTCCAAGGCAGGGAGGAAATCAAACACCCTGATTGTCTGGGGATTAGGGTTTGCGGCTGTCAAACTGATGGTCCCTTACTAATGAATTCTAGGCAGAGGTGTCCTCAAAGGATAGGGGGGGTCATTGCTGGGGCGGTAATATCCCAGGGCTCTAAATGTAGAAATGATACCTACTTTGGATGCTAAAGGCTATAGATAGTACCTACAGTGGGCCATTTGGACCCCCTGCCTGACTACATGGGTATGGCAAACCCCAGATGCTCCCAGGGTACGGATTTAGGGTGCAGGCAATATGCAATAAGTGCTTCCATGTCTATTTAGAGTTTGAGGAAGTGTCAATCACCCAAAAGCCCCCAGATCCAGAGTGACCCTTGAAATCTCTAAGGTCAAAACTCTGAACAGCCCTCATTCCCAAACCCTACGCATACACCCTTGTAATTATGACCCAAACTCTAAACCCTCCTTCGTAACCCTAAACATCAGCCTCTAACTCTAAACCCCACAGCCCAAAACCTAAAACCCTAATCCTTGAACCCATCCCTAAATCCCAAATCCTAAACCCTATACCCTAAAACCCCATAGAACATCCCCAAAACTGTACTCTCCTTCGACCTATAAAAACCAATATGCTAAATTTAATGATCTCTTAGGCTTATACTATAATGAGAATTAGAAAAAATCCTCAATAGACTACAGAGCCAAGGAACGGCTAAGGCCCACACAGGGTAGTGAAGGCAATATCTGCTGTAGCATCTCCTTAGGTGGTTTGGAGATTGAAGGTTTAAGGGCTTTGGGATTTGGAGATTGAAGGCTTAGGGTTTGAGGGTTTAGGGGTTTAGGGTTTGGGTCTTGGGCTTTGGGGCTTAGGGGTCTAGGGATCAAAGTTTAAGGATGTTGTTCCTCAGACCTTTTCTCCATAGGCTGTAGTCCCAGAGACACTTCTGAGCATTGGTGTTTATTGGTGTTCAGGGTTTGGGGTTCAGGATTTAAGGCGAAGGGACTTATGAAGTAGGCTTTAGGATGCAGTGTTCAGGGTCCCTCTTCAGGAAAATGAAATGGTTCTTTCTCGCGGTAATTTAATACACGGATGCCCCCACCCAAAACCTCTAAACCCCTACACCCGAACCCAAAACCCAAAACCCCGAACCTCTATATCAACACAGGAGCCCTCATGTGGACCTAACTACAAAGTTAACTACCCCAGACAAACCCCATTGTTCCTAGAAACGGCTTCTCAGTCTTTCTCAAGGAACCCTATAGTTCCAAGGGATCCCGAATGCCTATACCCCACATCCTCAACCTTAAGCCATTGGATACCCTGAACCCTATACCCCATATCCCTTGTATAGAAAGCAGCCCTAAACCTTAAACCCTAAACCCAAACTCTGAATCCCTAAACCCTAAAACCCCTAACATCTAAAAACCTATGCCCTAAACCCCTTGGAGCCCTAATCTGGCTTGCTGTTAAGGAACTTAAATTAAGTTACTATATTGGGGAAACCCTCTTATTACTATGTACCCATTATGGCAACTTAATTTAAGTTCCTTAACAGCAACCCAGTAAAGTGGAGCTAGCTTCATTGTTACTACATGCAAGGACGCCAGGCCAAGCAGGGTCAAAACGTAGCGGACCACACTCCAAATGAAGAAGTGAACTTCTGGAGATGTATACCTTAGGCGCATAGTCGTCTTTCAGGGAACTTCTCGGGATGCCCCATATAGGGTTTAGGGGTTAGGGGTTTAGGATTTGGGTGCATAGTAGTCTTTCAGGTCATTCACTATATAGGGTTTAGGGTTTAGGGGTTCAGGGTGGGATTCTGGTATCGAGTTTCGGAATCCTGAATCTACAGGGCTTCCCACAGGTAACCTTTTTGGAGTGGACTCGAATCTCATAATGCCCTAAACCATACCTAGAAAGCCTAGTCACCCCTAATAATGGGCTACGTTAACCCAAAGCTTTAGAAGATTAAGGGAAAGTGGCCTAAATCATGGGCTTTTGGCCTTCTAGGTAAGCCCTAAACCCTAACCCTAGTTAATCCTAAGCCCAAAACCCCAGATCCTATAATAACCCCAATATACTATAGTAGTTTCCAATTTATTTTCCATTATCCCATTATAGGACCTAAACCCTAAACCCCTACTGGACAGGCAGGCGACTGTTGCTTTCCCGACACCAGGTTCGTAGTGTGCTCGCAATTCGCCCACAAGATGTTGTAATTGATCCTTGGCTGTTCAGTAGTCCCTTGGAAAAAGCATAGGGCTCAGGATTTATAGGCTCAGGGTGTGGGGTCTAGAGTAAGGATCCTAGGCAGTTCAGTAGTTCCTGAGAAGAAGTCCAGGATTCAGGGTTTAGGCTTAGGGTGTAGGGTTTGGGTTTAGGAGTTAGGGCTTCAGGGTATTTAAAAAACATACTTCTTGGGGGTAATGCAGATAAGCTAGGAACCTAGAAACCCAAACAGCAAAACAAACATGCCACTGAAGAGCACACCCTAGACCCTAACTACCCAAACCCTAAACCCCTAAACCCCTATACCCCTAAACCCCCCAAACCCCTTAAACCCCTAACTCCCCAAACCCCTAAACCCTAAACCCCTAACTCCCCAAACCCCCCAATCCCTAAACCCCTAAACCCTCACTCACCACACCCTAAACCCTAAACCCCTAAACCCCTCAACCCCTAAACCCGAGCCTAGGATCTGATTTTCAATCAGATTCACAGCATCACGGACAATTCTCTCCCGCTGCTCGTTGCTCAGCTTCTCCTGCAGCGTAAGCCCATGGTCCCAAAGGGTCCATGTAGGATTATAGGGTTTAGGGTTTAGGATCCCAAAGGGTCCATGTAGGATTATAGGGTTTAGGGTTTAGGGTCCCAAAGGGTCCATGTAGGATTATAGGGTTTAGGGTTTAGGGTTTAGGGTCCCAAGGGGTCCATGTAGGATTATAGGGTTTAGGGTTAAACTCCTAGCATCCCCCTTAATCACCCCTGTAGCATGCCTCTATATAATCCTCTATAACCCACCTGTAAGGAGTTTAGACTATGGCTCATGTAGGATTGGAGGGTTTAGGGTTAGGGGTTCTTGGGCCCCAAAGTAGTGATACTGTTGACCTGCATGACCTCCGTAGGTACAGACTACTTACCTACATTGTCCGTTTGGCTTCCTGGCATCAAGACCATCGGGCGGTTGGGTCACAATAATTAGGGTGAAGGGAGCAGGGCTTAGGGATCACCAGGGAAAGGGGTTTAGGGTTTAGGGCAGGCAACTCGTAAATAACTTCACATATGGAAGAATCTTGATTAATGGTTCCCCAGTTGCGCACCAAGCGTATGCAGCTGCCAATCTCCCTACAGGACGCTACATTAAAATGCACTCAGCAGAAACAATAGCAACATTGCCTACTTCATGCAGCTGCAGGCAAGTGACAGAATCCTGGTACCCCATGTGTATGTACCCTGAAGAAACAGGCCCTTATCATGAGCAACCCATCACAAGGGGCCACCTTTTCGCGAAACACGCATTCGTGCTAAGCATGGAACTCTCGGCATGGGCCTCCATGCGAAAAATGTGAGGCATGTCACCGTAGTCGGCAAGAGGCACCCGGTGGCAACGGGCCTTCAGGGCGAATAGTTTTAAGCCCATGCCAGCTTAATACTGAATAGTTCGCAGATGTGCACTGTGGTAGTATGTGCGGAAAAGTTGTGAGTACAGGGTCGAATCTACTTTACCATGAAAATTACCACTGATTTGTAGGCATGGGACTATCGAGCTCAAGAGAAGAGTTCAGGGCTCAGCCCTTAATTCGTGTTTAAGATCCGCTCGACATCCATGGCTTGTGCAGCATGCCCAGTCATTCAAACAGCTTCCATGGCTCGACGAAAGCGCATGAAAAGTTCCCTGCACCCTAAACCCGAAAACGCTCAACCCGAGACCTCCAAAGAAGCCCTTGACCCTAAATCCTACACCCAACATTTGAAATCCGAAGCCCTAAACCCTAAAACCTAAACCCTACATCCAAAACCCCGAAGCCCTTAGTACCCAAAGCCTTGAAACAGCCGCGCCTTGTTTAGTGCGGTCTGGACTAACACTCTGGGGAGTGATAGCCAGGCTCCAAAAGTCTTCACCCGAACCTGAGTTGTTAAGGGTTTATAGGGTTTAGGGTTAAGGGTTTAGGGACTTGATTCAGGTTACTGTATTGGGGAAGCCCCATTATTTACTGTATATACCCATTATGGTGACTTAAGTTAAGTTCCTTAACAGCAACCCAGGAACTTCCTCGATGAAGCATTCGACTGTGTTCGAATACTCCATGATGTCGACAATGTGGTCCTCATGTGGAAGTTTCTCCAAATTACACTGCAAGATCCATGAGGGGAAGCCCTAAATGCTGACGAGCCCCAAACCGAAATCCGCACCCCTCGAAGCCTCATATGTTTCGTGGGTCCCCAGGACCGCCCAAAGTTCGAGAAGCCCCCCATGCCCATGGGATTCTAACAAGCCGTGCGTAGGAGCTTTCAAAATAACGGTTTAGGGTAGAGGGAACCCTTCTTGGGGGCACCAAAACAAGGAGTGATATGTTTTGGGGTCTATACTTGGGTCCCCTACTTATGGAAGCTGCCATTTCCCCTCCTATAGGTGTTGTTCAGCAAGTATAGTGCTGGTGGCATGCCAAGATCACCTTCCCATCCCTGATGAATCTGACTGTCAACCCTAAAATCTGAACGCTAAACCCTGCACCCTACACCTTCAGCCCTAAACCCCGAACCCTAAACCCTGAACCTCAGGTCCTCCTGTGTTCTAGGAACACCGAACTCGTCAACATGGTCTACATCGTCGAGGATGACCTTGGATACAGCTGGGACAGACATGATTCGTGGTGTTAAGGGTTTAGGGTTCAGGGTTGGGGCTCAGAGTCTAACCACGGGCGCACGGTTTGCGCATCTGACTATGCACGTGGTGCCAACTTCGTTCGTTTCTGAGGAAGATTGTAGGCGTTTACCGGATTTTTGTGACCTGCGGTGTACTAAGGAAGCCTGTAGGCGTCAATGGTTTTTACGGGTCTAGGACCTTAACCCCCCCAAAAACATGTAAAATCATAGCCCTAAACGCCGCATAATAACAGCCATAATCGCCATTGTTTCACATACTTTTCAGGGGGAAGGAACTCTTCAGGGCTTCCTTGAGAGAGTTTGTCACAGTTTGTGTTGAGGCAACAAATAAGGGCTCCACAGGGCTGAGAAGGGGGGGTATATGGTTTGGGGTTTAGGTCTAAAGGTTTGTCGTTTAGGGTTTGGGGTTTAGGCTTTAGGCTGTAGGGTTTGGGGTTTAGGTCTTAGGGATTAGGGTTGCGAGGTCCTCAAGAGAGAAATCATAGGGCCTCTGCATTTGTAGAGCTTGTCCCCGGATCTTGCTAGCTTTCCATGGTGTTGGGGTCGCAAGCGGTTTGGAGTTTGTTTAGGAGTTGCTTATCAAACCCCAAACCCTAAACCTTACAGTTGCTTCTCAAAGCAGGGCTTCTTGCTGCAGCTAGGTAACGTTGTTTGACTTTGCCCTCAATGTTCCCCTCAGGGTCCAAGGACCCAAATAATGACATGGTTTTGGGGCCCAAATACCATGAATAGTATAGCATTTGGGCCCTAAAACCCCATTCTTTGGGTCCTTGGACCCGTAGGGTTCATTCTTTTGTACGAGGTATTGCGCCGCTCTTATTTTGAAGGCTGCACCCCTGCGATGGATACTAAACATCCTGAATGGCCCTCAGCACCTTGTACCTGTGGGAATTATGGTATATTACTATGCTCAGTTTATGCAGGATTTTGAGTAGCAACAATATCCTCACAAAGGAGCAACACAACAACGAAGGTTGATACATTGGTACATCCTTCCTTACAACAGCAACACGCTGCCATAATCCTACTAAAAAACATGCCACACAATGATGGCGCCTGCACCCCTACAAACTCCTCTCTCAAAAAGGAGCAAGTCACAATGTGTTGGTAGATGTGGAAGCCCTAAACCCTAAACGCCGGATTACATACTTGCAAGTCACACCTTGTGCTGGAGCTGGTGTCACACAAGGCAGACGAACCCAAAACAACAACAGGAATCAGCGACAAACTGATGGTAGAGCTATACACGCTAAGCCCCGCACCCTGAACCAACAAAAAGTAAAGTCACAAAATGATGGTAGAGCTACTTAATCCTAAGCCCTAAACCCTAAACCCTAAATCCTGAACCCTAAAGTCAAGTCACAAAATGATGGTAGAGGTGGAAGAGCTCCAGGGAACCCATGAGGCTCACTAGATAGTCGACCCAAGGGCTCAAGCATCGAAGTACATTCCTTGGAGAATTTGGGGTTTGGGGTTTAGGGTTTAGGGTTTAAAGGGTTTAGGGTTAATTCCTTGGAGGGTGTGGGGGGTTGATGCATGCGGGGCTTTGTAGTTTTGGGGGTCTTGAAGGGGTCTAGGGTTCAAGGCTTTTGGGACTTTGGGTTGTTCTTAAGGGGTTTAGGGTTTGGGGAGTTTTCGGGGTTAAGGGCTGGAGGGTGAAACGCAACAAATTGCCCACATAGAAGTCCTACGCTATGTATACCGGGGTTCCTTCCAATAGGGTTTAGGGTTTAGGGTTTAGGGTTCACAAAACACAAGTCAAGACCACGGGTCAAGGTAATCATGCAATGATCGCCGCGGCGGAGCTGTGTCACTGAGGCAATCTCCCGGAAAACTGATTTCCTGGGAATCTGGTCTTAGGGATTTCGGGTGTAGGGCTTGGGGTTCTGGTCTTAGGGATCTAAGGATGTATGCATAAGTGGACCCTCCACTCTGTAATAGTGACTATAAGGGATGATGCTAACTATATTGGGATCCTCTGATATTCCTGGTTACCATTAGTACGGGGTGCGGGGTCTCGGGTATTAAGCTTTTAGAGACTAGGTTCAGAGGGTTAGGGATTAGGGATAGGAGGTTAGGAAGTAAGGATTGAGGATGTTCGGGTTTCGGGGATCAGGGATATTTATGTGTTGAATATAGCTTACTCTCCCAGAGAGTCCACATATACAACCATTATGGAATGGAAACCCATAACTCCTTCTATAGTATGGCATTTGGGGGCCTATTTAATTCCCTAGTAGTTGTATAATATGGACCCTCTGGGTCTATAAGGAGCTTAGGACCCAACAAACGGGAAAGGATTTCCCCAACACCTCTGTATTGATGAACTCAAAATATCTTCAAACCCCACACCCCGAAGGCTAAACCCTGAAGCGCGTGTGAGCCCCCTAAACCCCCAACCCTGCTTTGTGGAGTCCGGCTTCTGATCTACGTAGATTCTGGGCGGTCTGGCGAAGATGAGATCGTCAGCCGCCCAGAAGGGCTTGCGAGATCCTTCGAGGTTGAGGGCGAAGGACTCAAGGTTCGGGATTGGGAGCTCAGGGTTTTGGGTTCTGGGCTTAGGGCTCGCAATTTGGGGCTGAAGGATTTCTCCAAGGGCTCCTAGGTAGGTAGCTCCTTTTGTGGGGTTTGCTATGGATGCTGATATTTTCCAGGATTCCGGGCTCAGGATCCGGGATGTACCCTCCCCTCAACTAACCCAAAATCCCACGAAGCAGGCTTTCAAAAGATCTGTACCTGGAAAGCCTAGTAACCAAAAATAATGGGCTACTTTAGCCCAAAGTAGTTGGAAATTAGGGAAAATAGGCAATAATTATGGTCTACTGGTTTTCTAGGTAGTCTTCACAGAGAGCCTCCCTCTGATGTTCCACCCTAAACCCTGAACCATAAACCCCAAACCCCGCAACCCAAAACCCACAAAACCCAAAACAACAACCAAAACCCTAAACTCTAAACCTTGGACCCTACAGAACCCTAATTAGACCCTAAATCCCTAAAACCACCAAACCCCTAAACCCCCAAACCCCCAGGACACAGCCAAGACACGAGCTAAGTAGTGGTGTATAGGCGACAGGATTTTCTTTGGCTGCACCTGGTGTGAGCTGAACCACATCCAGAGTTAAGGGTTTAGGGTGTATTTGGGGGGGGGTAAGGGGTTAGGGTTTATAAGGATACTAGGGTTTTGGGTTTATAGGGTTCAGCTATAGGGTTAGGGGTTTAGGGTCAGGGAAAAATGCAAGGGCATATTAGGCTTCAAGGCTCAGACTTTAGCTTCACACGGTTGAAAGTAGTAGCTAAAGCTCGTATGCACATGTCCGCAGGGGTAGAAACTAAAATCGAGCATAAACCTTGTGCTTCCGACTGGCCTGCCGAACAAGCTTTTCTTGGGTACCAATATGGGCTATAGACCCCCTAGTAGGACCCTAGTAAGGGTAGATTAAGATACCCTTAAGGTCTAATAGCCCGCAGTGGTATGTGGTGATCGAAAACTCTGATTCATGCACCTTTCACTTTGAAGATTTGCAACCCGCGTGGCTTCTACTTTAGTACTTTGAGCCTCTGGAACCATCCCCGCCAAAGCCTTAATCACGACCCTTTGATGATGGATTCCCCTACAAAGCCTGGACCTCTAGGCACTTCAACCCGCTGGCAGCCGCAAGCCTTCAACAATCCCAAAGGGTCCATGTAGCTATATGGTATATACTTAGGGCCCTAAGGGGGTTCCATATGCGTACTTTAAGGCCCAAGTATATACCATATAGCTACATGGACCCTTGGGAAGTCTTGAGCCTTAAATTCATACCGTGAATCTACACCCGAAGCTAGGGTTTTAGAGTTAGGGCTTTGGTTGCCAAGCCTCTAAACTCTTAGCCTTAGCCAGTAAATGCCCGACCGTAAACCCCTGAACCCCCTAAGTCCCTCCCAGAGTAACCAGTGAGAAAGGCATTTGTGCGCACTATGTATTTTGGGAATCTAGAACTTACAGTTCTGTAAGAAGTCTACGTTACTCTTCGGCTAACACTGAGCTCTAAGCCATGTAAGCCTACAATCCCCCAGTTTCCAGTCCATTGTCCATCCCCCAACCCTAATAACCTAATAGCCTTAAACCTTTGAATGCCCATTCCCTAAGGGTCCAAGTACCTAATCATCATATACTTACCCAAAACCTGTACTATAATTACTATTACCCAAATCCCAAGTGCCTAATTATTGGGTACATGGACCCTCTGGGTAATCTCCCTGTCTCTCCAGAGCAGGCTCGAATTTGATATTACTAGGCTTATCCTTGAATTTCTCATATCCTGCTCTTTAACAGAACCCTG